CATTTATTTCTGACAACTGTCAAAGACGTTTTAAAAACATCGTTTAGATCGATCAATTCCATGGTTTCGTTGCCAGGAGGAAGCCACCTCCTCCTTCAGTTTTCATGGGCGGAAACCCACAGTCCGTTTGTCAATATGATAAAATCCCAGTGTGATTTGCTCTCAAACGCTCCGCAGGCTTTTAAAACACGATGCCAAATAGACCTTTACATGCAGTAAATAGCAAATTCTGAATACAAAAGCAGTGAATTGAAAATAAATATTTTACCAGTCGCATCTACCCTTATAAAGCTAATGTAATTAACGCATTAATTCTGTAGCTGAATGGATCTACATTTCAATCATGATTTATTTATTGCTTGATCAATCAGCATTGTATTTCAAATAGATGTATTTATTGCACTGTAAAAAACACATGAGAAGCGAAGTAAATCAGCAACCTGGGTGAAATATAAAGAGATGGTTACATACATTAACATGTCAACTACATGTATGTATGCCTCTGCATGTGAATTGAGTATTAATGATTGAAACACACAGTTTTACTGTTCAAAAACGCCCATCTGGAAGGTGAAAATTGCAACCAATCTCGGTGTGCTAATCAGACACGTAGAGTTCATAAAAGATCCTTTCACTGTTAATATTGACGGGTGTGTCCAAACATCGCCTTAAACGTTGGATTAAAAACATTTTAATTCTTCGATATCCCCAGCGTAGATAATTAAGATACCATAAATAAATAGGGTGAAAGTGCACGGAAACAAATTTTCAGTGTTTTTTATTTGCAAGTTGTATTCAAAGGAAGACGTCAGCTTGACTGTAACTTTATTACTATACAAATATATACTCGATTCCGTGAAACCTAAATCAAATACATAACATCAAACAGAGGTGTATAAACCCTCTCATGTATGTTGACACTATATTGATTAGTCACGGAAACAAGATGCTCTAAAAAGACGAGATTTTTTTATCATTCAATGGCATATAAAGCTTTCAAGAGTCTTATAATCTCTCACTGGAGTACGCACGTGTATGTTGAGAGATTAGCTCACCAAGTTTTGTTTGCGTTGTATGATTCATTCCTTCTATTGTGTTGATGGAGTTACCCTGACATTGTGTCCATGGGATGCTTTAATTACTCTGTATCTCAGCACTTTTTTATTGCCACCTTTTAACTATCCTATACCACTTTCCCCGCTCCTTTTCCATTATTCATTCCACTGGGAGTTTTTTTACGCCCCCCCCCCCTCCATATTTCCAAAAGGAAAATGTGTGCTATCATACAGTAGGCCTATTGCCTTCGTAACAAATTCTGTTATGCTTATAAGAACTTGTTTTGGTCAATTTTTACCATGACAGAATTTCACTTTCTTTATTTACTCATGTATTTTAAATATGTTGAACACAAGTTCTTATTTAATATCATAGATGTACAGTAACTCTTTCGTATTTCGTAATAAATATTGTAAACCGCCAGCCTGTTTATACTTATTCTATCATTGCTGAAAAAATGAACTCGTTAAGTTGCAAGTATAAGCTAAATATGAGCAAATACATATCCGGTGCGCCATGTCACAGTTTCAGTATTGAGTTTTGGATATGATAATGATTGGTTTATTGAGAACTAGGTACATTTACAGGCTATCTATACTAAATAGTTATCTGAACTCTAAAAAGGTTATGGATATATATAATAGGCAGTTCAATTAGAGGGAAGTTTCAAATAGACTTTTCAAATAGCAATTCAAAATAGACACGTGGCTCACATTAGAATTTGTGAAAGCGTTTAGAATCGTTTATGATAAACGTCTGTAGGTTCTTATACAGGCCCGTAGCCAGGGGGGGTTCGGGGGGTTCGAAAGAACCGCCCCTTTTGCTGGGAAAAGGTCCACTCTGGGTAAAATTTGATCTAGGTACATGAAGTTTTCATGGGAAAAGGTCCACTTTTTCAGAAAAAGAACCCCCCTTTTGAAATTGCTGGCTACGGGCCTGTTATAGTAAGAGAAAAACACTGAAAATTGGTGCAACCACTTAAAAGATGGAGAATCACACGCATGGACATAAGAACATTTGTATGTCTTCTTTTAGTCCAATTATCTTGAGTGAAGTTGCATTTTTCCAGACGACCTCTAAGTAAGTTGCATCAGGTGGGGCCATTATTTCTACATAAACCACAACCTATGGATGTCTCCTGCAATGTACATACATGTATATCTTTGGATATAGCTTTATAACATCAATGCTTTCTTTAATGGATAAAACTGCCTAAAGACTTAAAGTCTGATGGCAAATCACATTAAGTTGTTAGCTACGGAAAGGATTATTGAAAACCTCTTTTCCTACATGGTACGGCTCAGATGGGGTAAAGATTAGTTTTTTCGGGCAATTCTATAAATTCAGATAATACTGCATTCTTCGCTTGTTGTGAACGTTTTCTTTAAATTCCAAAATATGATGATGAATTTAAGAACGTCAAGGAAACTACAACACACCGGTTGAGTCATGGCCAAACTGCTTTTGGTTAATTGTGAAGGTCAATAGTTCAAATGTAGTGTTGTCATCTTTGGCATCACTCTGCTTTTCTTCTTGTTAGAGGAATGCAAAAATGCAAAGGGATGTCCCTTTGAGAATGGTATTTATTTCTAGTGGAAAACATTTCCCATGAATATATAAAATGCTATTTTAATTCAAGGCATTCAAGGTTACGCTTGATGGAATCAATGCGACAAGAAACGGACATGGGCCAGTTTTGTGACCATTTAATTCCAAGTGCCAAACACAGCGACAGTCGATACTTCCATTTCCAAGATCTATCCATTGCCGGAAATGAAACGCTATAAATGTCTCCCTGTACAATATCTGGAAACATTTGTCACAAAAACGGGATTTTCTGTAAATATGTTTATAGGTTTCTACTGAGCAGTACGACTTTTTGTTTGTCTTTCTTGAAGCAAGATCAGATACTGTATTGTATTAATAATAATTGAACACCTTTTAGGCAAACTGGATGGTAGCAGGAGATGCATTTATGACGTGCGCTAAAACCGTGTCTTTGTGTCTGTAATAACGTATCGATGTTCTGTCCCTAGCGACATGAAAAACGGGTTATCGAATGCAGTTTGTTTAACAACTGGTAGTTCATTTTGGTCCACATACTGGTTTTGTATGTGTATAATTCAAGATGATAAGAACTCTGATGATAAAAAAATGCTTGCAAAATATGAGAAAAGCGAAAACAATCGTAATATCACGAGCTAAGAAAACCATTTTGTGCAAAAAAAAAAAAAAAAAAAAAAAAAAATACAAGTGTTATGATTGATGACAGGGACATACATGTACATGTTTGTTGACAGTTTGTAAGGATTAGCATTACTTTGATACCTGTCATTATTTCTATGGTCGGCAATTTTTGATGGATTGTATACTATATATTAAACAATATGTTGAACATGGCAAATGATAGAGGAGCAATGTATTAGAAAATTAATGATGAGGTTAATGCATTGGCGGGAAGCCATCGATAAAAAATCATTATTTAAATATAATTGTTTCACAACTCAATGCCACATAAAATGCTATACAAAAACTTTTCTATAACAATTATCAATCTACAAATAAGCTTCTGTAGTTCGAGAGATTTCCTTTCCACTATCATTATTAAAGTCATTTTCATCTGATAATTTGCAGTCGCCCATGAGATGTAATTTCGGGTCGCATTTTGAATTTTGCTTATCACAGTTTGTAATTTTACATCACAAGCCGCCGGGTAAGCTGAAAAGTATTTGCTTCCAATTAACTACTTTTTAGTTCATATTTCGTTCATATGTGAACTGTTCTCGTCCGCCTTAATATTGTTTTCACATCAGGCTAATGATACCCTCATACGAGGATAAACGCTCTCCATGTTGCTCAAATGCTTGATCATGCGATAATGCGTATACTAGATAATGCGGTGCAACGTTTGCGAACAACAGGCGTTTTCATCTTTTGATATTTAATCTTATTCTACTTGCACACAGCTGTGCCAAATTGACCAGTTAAGTGAGGTGGAATTCATTACTGTAATGCAGATTTACATCTGTCTCATGTACAAAAGGGTTGAACTCCCAAGCCCAAAGTATGTTGAGTAGAGAGATAATTAAGGCATTTGTTTGCACACAGTACACTTCAAATCATACGTGCACGGAGTCATTACATTGCAGATATGCCTATAAGATATGACACAGGTGTTGAGCTTACTAATGCCCCGATTTTGGTGTGCATCAGACGGGTTAGCTAACTACAATAAATGCCAACCGACTATTAAAGGCTGCCTATCTCATTTTCGGTATTTATACCGACTAAGACGTGAATTACAATCCGATACCAGTGTTTGATTTTTCATTCTTTATTTAAGAGATATGAGGACCTAATTACGATGTTCCATTAAAGGGATAACAACGCTTCATTGGGTATACGGTATATGACGATGTTCTCATACTTACCAATGGTTAACAAATCCATTCCGACATTCAAAATTAGTCAATTCCTTTTTTAAGGTATATTTTTGCAATAATCTCTGAAGATAATTTATTTGCACACAGCTAGAATAAAGAGATTATTAAGGAGAGTAGCCATCGATGAAGGTCCAAGTGGACCGACGGCAAGCACAGATTTCATAACAATTGCAATAACCACCTTTTTGGTGGTAAAATGGAATTTATCATATTTTAAGATTTTTTACAATGTATTCATTGTGGAATTCTAAATCTAATATGGAGAGTTGTTATCCTTTAAACAAAGCCATTATTTCGCTTCTACTGATAAAATCAGTAGAAGTTCTCTTTCAAGAGAACTCCTGGCACCGGATTGTACTACTTATCGTTGTAATTAAATAGTCGTTCAAACGGTGTTGATAGCTGTTCAGATGAGGAAGTTCTGTTTGAAATCGACATTACAGTTTTTACCACCCAAAACGCTGTTGTTACGTCATCAGCTCAAATAAGCAAATTCACCCTTATTCTTTATGTGACAGGATTATCTCATAATATGACAATTTTATTTCCGTATTATATAAGCGGATAAGGAAATGAATCCCAGTGCATCGAACCCCCTTAAGACGTGACATATGTAAACTGACGTTTAAATGTAGAAATTTTCCTTTTGAAATTTTACAATATATTGGCTGTTCATATTCATTTGAGCATTCTACAACTATAACATCTGAAGGCAGTTCTTAGTACAAATGATAATCTTTTTAATTACAAATATCATATAATGGAAATAATGGAAAATTACAAGAAATGATGCTTTTTTAAAGTTACAAGGTGCGAACAGATAAAGTGACTGCAATCTTGGTCGTGCCTCTTTCTCTACGACTGGGTTCCCATGCCTAGATCGATCCATCTGGATCGACCTAACTCCCTGTGGGTTCACGCTAAATTGCTATGAGCTAAAGAGGCTTTAACCTCTGTCACGCCTACCTAATCAGTTAGGTGGTAATTAAATTTCTTGCACGCTCGGCCTCGCCGATAGCAGATAGCAATTTAGTGAGACTCCCCATGGCGATAGATCGATCCAAATATCTGTGGGAATGCTCCCTACATCTCGGTCGATATCACTTTTCTGAGGTCGGTAAAACAACATATTGACCTCAGCCAAAGATAATAATTGTTTAATTATATAATTTGATACCTGAATGCCAATGCCCTCCAAGATAATATCAGATGTTGCAATATCCTTGACATCCAACATTGATGTCGGCTGTTTGATAATATGTGTCCTATTCTCTGATTGCTTACAAAGATCAGCAATTACGCCATCGGTCAATAATATTTTGGGAGATGACGTCATTGGACAATAATATGTTTTATCAGACCTCACATTCCCAGACATAAAATCATAATCCATGCTGATTATAAAATAAGTTCCTTTATACTCAGTGGCACGTCGTGAAGGTAAAGTTACCGTTAACATAATGGTACTTTAGATTTCTGAAAATGTAGATAGTATTGGTGATATAGAGTTACGTGTACTTTAAGCTGACGGAAAAATACAAGGCACACAGATCACTATCCACAGAGTCACGGCAACCGTGGCCACCATGAATAAATACAAGAAAAATCGGTCAATCACAAGTGCAACCAGGCGCCATTCTCCGCGGTCCTCTTCTCTTTTCTGTTCGTCTATAATCCTTTGTTCTATTCCACGCAAAACGTTCATAATTTCCACTAATGTTTTGTCCAGTAAAGAGTCCTCGTGTGTTTTGTCGTGATTGCAGGCAAGTTCGGAAAACTTGGGGGTGATAAGAGAACCATTTTGGGCGGCAAGAATGATACCGCTTTTTACTGTATTTATTCTTGTTCTTATCCGCTTCAAACTTGGTGCCCCGTCTTCATTTTCAATGTAACTTCCGTTTAGATACTAAAAAAAGACACAAAGAGACATTCAGTTACGCCAACTTAAACGAATACTTATATGTAATCCAGCCTTCTATTCTATACGACTTTTTCTATAAATATAAAGGATAACAAAAAAAAAATGCCTTGGTTGAATATGCTCATAGAATTTTTATTAAAAAAAATCTAATTACTTTATAATGCCGTTCCTGTTAAGAAATTAATTTAGAGTTGGGTTGATATTTTCACCGTGGTTCATTCGTGTTCCAAAATGCAGTGACTTTTGAGTTTCGTAGTTTCACTTGTTGTCTCTAAAAGTCATTTACCAGTCGGGGCAGTCACTAAAATTTAATTTGACACACTGGAGTAGGCTACCATCCAAGAGCCCATGGTATGTAAGACTACCGAGTCCAAACTTTCAAGTTGAAATTTTAAAAAGACAAATCAAAATTTTATGAACAAATTTGATTAAAGGACAACTCTATGGGGTTTTCGCACCAAAATGGTTTTTCCTGGAAAATAAACAATTTTCTCGTATTCACGATTCATTTATTTATTCCCCTCTGCACTTGACATTCTATCCTTAATTAAATATATAAAGGTCAATTTAGTTTAAAATGACTGGCCACTCATTATAACCAGGGACCATCTTCCTATTTTAATATTTAAAAATATCAACACCAAGAAGGCCCCAGAAAAATATTTAATGGGTTAAATCGTTAGTAATGTGTGTTAGGTCTTATAAGAAGCTGTGGGTGGCAAAAATAAGTATTTGGGGAATCTACAAGCCCATGGAGTGTACCTTTAGACGTTGTAAAAAAATACACACACGTTATAAGCCTTAACAACGCATAGATCTACCTGTGCTTTGTCCATACAGTTGGCCATCTTGCTGTACTCCATCACCAACTTCTTCTTGCAGATCAGTCGACCAATTCCGTTTAGGACAACCTTTCTGACCCACAGAGGGACCTTCTCTCCGTGGAGACCTTTATGGTGCAGGTTCACCACCAGAACGGTGGCCGCAGTGGACAAACTGACAAGAATGATGGCCAACAGAAAATACTGACCTTGGATTGTAGAAAAAAATAGGAATTAGTTTCTGTAAGCACTTTTTCTTTGTGAAAAGTGTTTAGTAGAGGTGATTTTGCTTCTTCATTTCTTAGTTATCGTGAAATGATTGCACGACTATTTTGGCATTGACTTAATTGTGTTTGTAGTCTTTGTTCGATGATATATGCAAAGAAAGGTAAACGAATAAAATGAATGCTGTGCATTTTTCCTTTGTGAAAAGTGTTTGGTGAGAAGATTTTGCTTCTACATTACTTATCGCGGAATGATTGCATAACTGCTTTGGAATCGACTTTATTGTGTTATAGTCTTTGTTCAATGATAAGTATAGAAAGGTTAGCGAATAATGGAAAAAACCACTCACTTATTAATGGAACCACTTCTGATTGCGGGGGAGTGTTTTCAGCGACCAGCAGTAGAAAAACTGTCAGTGTGAGCAGTACTGTTACCCCCAATGACACCTTTTCACCGGATTCAGGCGGGAGATAAAAACTCAGTGACGTCACGAACACTATCAGCATACACGGTACAACTAAGTTGATCATATAATACATAGAACGCCTCTGCATATGAATGGTGAATGTAACGTCAGGGTAAGGAGCATCGCAGCAATTATAGTACAGAACGTTCCTCGTGGCAGGCATGGACAGAAGATCGAACTCGCCATTTGATACCACCCCCGATATATCCCCACTGGGGTACGTGTTTGTGACGTTCACCTGATGCCCGTCATATGTCCATGAGCCGAACTTTAAGATGCATTTCTCTTCGTCAAAGGGGAATTTTTCTACGTTGAGATTGCAAGAGCTTCTCACTATAAAGGGGTAGTTCCACGCCACGCTGCCGTCACTGGAGACGATGGCGTTGTAGCGCTTTACGTCATGGTGGTCTTGCCGTACGCTGGAAATGGAAACGTGGTCTATTAATGTAGTCGTGCAGAAGCTGCAAGTTATTCCTCAAAATTAAGTTCAAGTGATTACATAATGAAGGATGAACTGTCCCTCTACAGCAATGGATTTTAAAAGATAATTCGTAAGTTTTTTCAACAGCATAGGGGTCTTATTTTTTATTCTAGTTCTGAAACGAAATGCCCTGTATCTGAGATGTGTACGTATACTTACTCCGTATATAAAGTTATATCAGGAACCCATACGGCTACTGAAGGAAGGCGAATTGTATCAACACCGCCAAACTCGGACGCATTCCACCTTAAACCATTGTCCTTCCATTTCTAGCAAAACAAATAAATTGATAAATACATAATTAGAAATCAATGAATAATTTCTTTAAACATATCCCTAAAGAGAAGAAGAGGTTAGATGAACAGTCAAAATGACAGTTGATACATTTGATCTAAAAAAAATTCATACGTAAACCTTCACCACATGTATTACATCAATCAGTCAAGTCCCAGGTGATTCTCCTCCACACGCCAGCCCTTGAAAACAGTCGAAGCGATCACTTCATTCAGCGTGGAATAGTAAGCTGCATGCACATTCTTTCTTTCAGTTTGATTCCACTAAATAAACAGATAGCGGGAGTAGTCTAACGTCTTTGTAGTATTGGATTATTCTTATTTGTAGCTTAGAATTCTCTTTTTGTGGTTACATGAACGACATGCACATAAATAATATAAATAACTTACCAAACGCATGTAAAGACTGCAATGAAGAATCTGTAATCGTCCATCCTACAAAGAAAAGTTAACATTCATGGATTAACAACTGAAAACTGTTATTCTGAAGGAAAGTCAAAGATACACATGAAGATTTTATTGGATTCCAAAGCTCAAAAACAACTCTCGAAAGGAGAGTTTGGAATCTCAGGAGTCCTGGAAACTGAAAACCATAGCCTCAAAAAGGAACTAGTCGAATATGTTTAAGATTTAGACCACAATTTAAATCTGCTTTTCCCCAATGATTAAGACATATATTTAAAAAATGAAACATTGTATTAAAAACAGGTCCTACATAGGTGGAAGAACTGTGTATTGGATCATCTTTTTACGTGTCCGTACCATGGAAGCCTAATTCTTTTCCATACTTCTGTGAGAAGAGCGTCATGTGTGTGTGTGTGTGTGTGTGTGTGTGTAACAATGTGCACCTTACTGTCAACGCCCATGTCTCGCACACAGATATACATCGGTGATAAGGAGAAAACTGCTGAATTCTTTGGGCAAATTCTATTTTTGTTATATAAATAATATAAATATCTAACGTTCATCGTGCGTCTTTTTTTATTCCCTAGTTTAATATGTAATATATCCCCATTTAATTACCCTGGATCAAAGCAGATAACATTTTTTTGTCTTCAGATTTGAGATCAAATTTCTACTTTGTTACATGTATGCTCGGCGCTACTCACAACTATAGAATCTGCGATTACTACATTAATGGAGTTTACCAGACTGATCTGTCAATTCACCTATTTCGGTGAATGCCAGTACTGAAAGCCATTAACACGATGAAAGCCAATGAAGCCATGATAACCAACATGGCATTAATAAAGCCTATACTTACCAGGTTTAATATTTGATTCAAAGCCACATTGAGGAACACGTTGACGGGAGAGAAGTAATCAGACACCGGTCGGACTCCGGGGTCGTATCTGCTCACGTTTAGTAAGTGAGTTTTAAGGGCGTATTCCCAGTTGGTGCCTGCTGACGCTGTAAAACAACAATCGTGCATTACATTGGCGTGATGGCCATCTACGTATGGATTTTACTTATTATTCTGTGTTGGGAACGGGTTTCATTACGTACGTTTTGGTACATTATATGCCACAGAGTACACAATACGTCTTTTTTTATTACATACATGTATGTCAGGCATTATATTTTATAAACAGAAAATTTTATGATAAAACGATGACCAAATACCATTTTATATCGTATTTTTATTAATGTTTCGGATAAAATTGGAATCTCTTGATTGACAGAGAATGATACTAATTGAGTACATAAAGCCAGGTAATATAAACACCGATATTGGAATTCATAGTCTGCATATCACGGGTGAAGGGTCGCTTCTTTCTTTACCTTCCGTCATTCAATTGTTTCATTTTGGGGGATGAGAATTTTTTTCTTTAGACCAGAATGAAGGACTATGTGATAATATCCACGTGTTTCTGTTACTCTGTGTACAAGTGAGCGGTTTTCAACACTTTGCATCAATATACCTTTTCACTAAACCAAACTGAGCAATTACGATGCACTTAATTCGAATAAGTAATGTCATAATACTTAAATCGACAATTCCAATTTGTTCCATGCTTGTAGCTCTACCAAAATAGCCATTGCATTGGTTCTCAGTGCAAATATTTTTCACCCCAGTTCAATTAGAGATTTAAACAAAGATGATACAACAGCAGACCCACATTATCATCATCCAAATATCTCGAAAGATAAGGAAACTATCATTGATTTGAATTTACTTTTTGAAATTAACGTTTACAGTCAGCTACGGTGTGCAAACAAACCCGCTATCTATAATTTCCGACCTCAATCTGTCCTTCACACTTCATAATTGTTGCTGATTTTTCAGTAATACATTGACATCTACTTTATTGTAATTTTGAACATTGGGCTTGTAGCCCACTGCCCCGTAACCGTTCCTTATAATAACGCATTTGTTCAAATCATGACTTTTGTCTTTTCGTCTCGATTATTTCAAAAGAATTATAACACCCTGATCTCACTATAATTAAGGCGCTGCATAATCATTCTATATGTATACTACCTGAATAATTGATTTTTAATGTTCTTATACAAAGACAATCACACCTGTTTTTTTTATTTGTAGTTAGAACACACATGCAATATGTATGAAGGCATTACAGTTTAGTCTATAGTGACCGCAATTACCTTTAAAAGTATAAGGAATTAATGAAATAATAATGAAACTATGGCACTGTTTTCATAGAAACTTCGCCAAAACAGCTTTTTGTAATTCCCAACAGGATTCATCAGTGATAAATATCATGGAAATGCCATGAAACAGCAGTAAACAAAGGTGTTGTAACCAACCGTCTCCTAAATTTATCGTTTATCTTACATAGTCGATTTATTGCGGGAGAACCTTCATCTTCCAGATTTCATTGGGATTTTAGGTTTCAAAACATCGAGTGTCGTGTAACTATGCCCACAAACAGACGGTCAGACTGATTTTGTTCGTGCAAATTTGTATGGGCTGTATGTCATTGCACAGCCTACTAATTTGACGCAATCCACACAGTGACGCACAAAGTTGCATAACTGTTTCATATCAGTTTTAATTATTTTTGATTTCTGTCCACTGTAGGGCATAAAAAGGAAAAATAATGGGGGAGTAAAAATTAAGCAAATATTACACAACTATGAGTGTCACTGATGTGACGACTCAGAGAGTCGCTGTTTGGTAGAATGGCATGACTCCCAAATTAAGATGGCAGTCATCAAAATGCGTTGGAAGCCCATAAACAGAACCATGAAAACTCATCATAATTGTATTATCAGTCCAAACACATAAAAACACACGCGTACGCACGCACACACACACACACACACACACACACTGGCAACATTATACCCTGGAGGAAGATTTTGCCCTCGCGGTCTCTGTTGCTTTAATATAAGCAGAGACGTAATGATTTTTGGCCACCGTCACAGCTGAATTACAACAAAACGTATCATTTCTAAAAATATCATCATAAAGTCACTATTCTAAACTAACATTATGAATCAACAGTATGGATTCTGCAATACATAGCCTGCATTCATGTTAACTAAAGGCGTTCATCCACTTAATCATCTAATGTACAAAATGCCTTAACGCCAGCTTAGTGGAGTCGTCATATTTGCTCACTGAAGTCATTGCCGTTTGTGTTGTCCTGATTTGATGATATACCTATTGCATCAATAACAATATACGCGATATTTAGTAAAGATACACTGTACGCGTTTGAAAATTTCCGTAAGTCCATTTTCTATGTCCACTTATCCTGCAATGCTACAAATCTTTCCCAATCCATTCATTTAAAACAATAAAACTTCTCAAATAAAAGAAATGAAATAATCTGACGATGATAGTTCCTTCTAAAATCTACCAGACACACTCTTTTGAGACTCATTTTTCTCTTCTTTCTTCTGTATTTTAATGCTTCGCCTAAAGACAAAACTGAAACTGGTAACAAAGTGGGTATAAACTCTAGACTCCCAGGCCAATATTCCTGTAACGCTACTAAGAGGCCATTTTGCCACGCTGTACTAAAATCATGTTTCAGAATCATGTGTCATATCATTTGCCATATGTCATAGTGACATTCTGCTTCAAAATACAGACTTTTTCCCGTTTATAGCAAAACCCAATTCTTTATGATTGAAAACGAATAACACTATGTTGCTGTGCTTTGCAAAACATGACGAATTGCCATCAGAGGCATCAACGTTTGAATCGATGTGACGGAATTTTACGACCGTCTTCGTCCATTTATAAAACTCACCTTGTTTTGGCAGGGTTTGGAACAGGAAAAACCAAATCCAATTAGCGACTAAATTCTCCTTCATCAACATCTTGTCAACAGATATCTTCAAAACGCAGTATTCTATCCGCTGACAAAATGAATGATTCGAGTTGTCACGGAAATAGAAATCAATTTATGACTGAGGCTGACTCAAAACAACTGACGTCACAGTAGTCTATAAAAACCGCAATAAATCAAATTCTAAGGTAACAACACAGCTACAAGCAATGTTCCTCTTGTCTGTAGCACGGGCTGTCATGTTGTCGTCTTCGGCGAAGTTTGGAGTTAAGCTCATTCATACTTATATAAATCGCTTTCCGTAAAGCAGTCTCATGAGATTCAACGCTGTCAGAATGAAGCTGATTTCATGATTAAAACATGGTTGATGATTAGATAACCATGACGTGCATTTCCAGGTGACTGCTTCTTCTACCTCATTTCAAAACTCGCTTAACGCTCGAATAGTAGGCAGGACCCTCGGAGAAAATAATAAGAATAAATATGTAGAAAGATGCATTCATAAAATCAATAAAAGCTTTCCAGGACTCTTTACATCGAGCGTGGTGTATATTTGTAACATTGAAATTAGTCCTACTGTTTGCGATTTATCAACATAGAGGCGAATGTTTACCATATCAACACTTAAATGATAATTTATGTGATGTGGGCTCTTATATTTCAAAACTACCAGAGCACCATTTTAAGCGGTATAGCATGCAATAAGGCACAATTAACTTCAAAAAACTAAATGATAACTATAGTGCCACAATTGCAAAAGGGCACATATAATGCTTTATTTTGTCTAAGGGCGCATTTTATGCTTTATTTTTGGTGTTGAAAATTTTTAACGCCAGAACGAAAATATATCACGAGAAATTGTTTTAATCCAATCATTGGAATGAATAAAGCCTACTTCTAGTACACATGAACTTGAACAAAAATTACTCAAAGTTATTTATGTTATAATTTTAAAATAACAGAATTTCCACCTAGTTTGGCTACCACAAGCCACCATCTTCTTTGGAAAGATTGATTCAGTGTTTGGTATTCCTGTTGATGTGCCGGACATATAACTGTTCCACTCAAAAACGTATCCATGTGCCAAATGTATCCAAAACCATGCTAAACATTCGTCCATATGTGCAAAAGTACAACAGAAATTAACTTAGAATTATAGTGTTAATATGAAAATGGCAAATGTCTTTAACATTTGTCAAATTGTACGTTGTGTTCATGCCGAAAAACTAGTTTTATGTTGTGTTGTTGACGTTCTTTGACTCCAACTATCTTAACTTCCAGTGTTTTATCGGTGTTCAGAATTTTAGAATTTGGGAGGAAAAACTATACATCTGTTTCTATCCTTAGTACAGGAGAAGAAAATTGAGCTTTATCACGGATAAAGCGCGTACGTATTCAATTATGATACCAGTGTACCCTACTTCATAAATATTCCATGAAATATTCCACATAATTGTCTTTTATGTGCCGACTGTTTCAACGAACTGTTATTGTTCCAGGCAGGTACATTCAAATTCTGCAGAAATGGTCGCTTAATGTGATTTATTGACCAATGTTATATCGCTGGCCCCACAAACGCGTATTGAAACCACAGCAGTGTGTTCAATTAGCTAATTGGCATTAAATTGTAGAGGCGTTTTCTTCGTTCTCATTAGACTTTTAGAAATATCTCAAAACGCATATATACATACTCAGATTATCACAATAGGATCGGGTTGCCACCAAACGAATGTAACAAAAGACAAAAAATGAAAGATGAAATGCACTTAATCGATCTGCCTGTGTAAGCCACGCTATTTTCTGCCGGGAGAACTGTACTAAGAACTTATGGCCACCTTGCCTGGGCACATCTAGTACAAAAGGATTTGTTTGTCAAATGCAGATAAAAAAAACTAGCTTCGACTCCTGAGCGATGGTTTTGAAATTTAATATAACAAACAATTACATTTAATTCAAACTATCTCCACCTGCCCTTGAGGACTAGGGCTACAACTACGGGAATTTCTACATCAAGTTAGGTCTGGTCAAAGCATGCATACATGTAGCACTCCAGTGGCGGATTTAGGAGGGTGTCATGAGGGTCCTGACCCCCCCCCCCCCCCCCTTTGATTTCTGAAAAAAAAAAAACACACCAATGGTCTCCTCTTGAAATTAGAATTTTGGCTAGCTGAACTATAGTTCTAAACCGTACCAAATGGCACCGTTCGCCCTCTAAAATAACAAATTTTTTCTAGGCCCTTTAGCGGGCCCCGAACCCCATATCAAGGGAGGGGGGCTTCGTATCTGCGGGCCCCTCTTCAAATAATCCTGGACCCGCCCCTGCACTCATAATAGAATACTCTGTGTCGATACATGCATTACGCTTGGGCCTCAAACCTCGATCATAAATTTGCAGAAACCAAGTGGAAGTTTGAATTTATGCGACCAACAACAACAGCGAACCCTATTGGCAATTTTGTTTCTCAAAAAGAGTCATGTCTCTACGTCATACAGTCATGATACACATGAACCATGCGTCCAAGGTTACAAGTATAAAATGCTAATAACCCGCTTCAACTTATTTCACTGCACGACACTGAAAAACA